GAGGACTTTCTCTATTTTCCAATTGCAAGGGCTAAAATTCTAGAGTTCTATCCCAAAACCCTTTACCCTCTAACGCCAACACCCATTCCGCCAGATCCTCTCCATTTACCTCTTCCAAATTCATCAAACATGCAACAAGGGGGTCCTTAATAGTCAGCATCTCATCATCAGTCTCTACAATTACATCCACGGAATCAATAAGAGAGCAATTGGCGAATTCACTTGGTCGCCTCATAGATTTCTGCACATTGAATGTTATTTCTTCGCCGTTCAGTCTCATCTTGAGCTCCCCAGTCTCATAATCAATTAGAGCTCCCCGTGTCCAGGAATGGTCTTCCCAAAATTATGGGAATATCTTCATCCACTTTGCAGTCTAAGATCACAAAATCTGCAGGGAACACAAATTTCCCCACCTGAATCAACACATCATCCAGGATACCAGAGGGTCATTTCACAGTCCTGTCAGCCAGATGCAACAACATAGAGGTGGGTCTAGCTCTTCCAATACCCAACCTCTTATAAATCGCCAAGGGCATAAGATTAATGCTGGCCCCTAGATCACACAGTGCCTTAGCAAAAGCAAAATTACCAATAGTGCATGGAATTGTAAAGCTCCCTGGGTCAGACAGCTTTTTCGCAATTGGTCTAGTCACCACTGCACTACAAGTCTGAGTAAGAGTAACTGTGGCCAAGTCTTGGAAATCAAATTTTCGGGACATTAAGTCCTTCATCATTTTTGCATACCCAGGCATCTCTTTCAAAGCATCAATCAATGGTATGTTTACCTGGATTTGTTTCAGCATCTCAAAGAACTTCTTGTATTGCTCCTCTTTTTGGTACTTAGCCAGCCTCTGAGGGAAGGGTGCAGGAGGTCTGTTCTTCCCAATCATTTGGGATTGATCTTTATCAGCTGCCACATCCACTACTGGCTCCTGAGACATGCTCCTGGGCTGTCTCAGCTTCTTTCTCGGTCTCAATCTGAGTGTTATTTCCTTCCTAGGCAGGCTAGACTGTCACCTCTGTCAATTTCGTTGACTCATCCAGCTCAATGGGCACTAGTATGAGTGTCTCAGCCTATCTAGTTTCTCGAGCCCTCTCCTACTCTACATCCAAATATCTGCCGTTACGTAGACTCACCGCCACCAGCTGCTTCGGGCCTTGATCTTTTGGATTTATCTGTGTGTCTGCAGGTAGTGTCCCATGAGGACTATTGTTCAGAGACATTGAAATTTGGCCCACCTGCACTTCAATATTCTTGATTGCTGCATCCTGTGCATCTACTCTCTCATTAATTTTTGCATTAGACCCAATAACCTACTGTATCATTGCTTCAAGTCTAGCAAACCCATCTTCCTGCCTTCCACCATGCTGCTGCTGAGGAGGGTGATACCCTTGCTGCTGATTTTGATTATTATATCCTGTGGCCTTGGGTAAGGAGCCATATTGTTAGGGGGTCTCATACCTCACATGTTCCCAGCATTGAACTGTGGCTGGGCTGGCCTGTACTGTTGATTCTGCTGGCCCCAATTCTGACCATCCTGTCTCTGGCCTCCATAATTAGACACATAGTTCATGTCTTCAGGATAGTGATGATGATCATGTTCTGCATTCCACTGATTACCAATGGGCTGACTAATGCAAGATGCACACAAGCCCCCATTGGTAGTGTCTACGATGTGTACCTGCTGCTTCTGCCCTGACTCTTCCACCTTTTTGGTGAGTATACTCATCTGAGTCAATAAGGTGGCCATATTTTCAGCCATAGAGTTAGATGGATCCAAAGGCATTGAGTGAACCACTGGGGTGATAGGTGCATTCCTGGTTATCCATCCCGAATTTTGTGCCATCTTGTCAAGTCAGACTCTGGCCTTCTCTCCATGTTTTGCTCAAAAATGCTCCACCAGCTGAAGCATCAACTATGTTCTTCACGCTATCTGACAATCCCATGCAAAACCGCTGTCCCAACATCAGATCTGGGACACCATGGTGTGGACATACAACCAACATCCCCTTAAAGCGTTCCCATGTTTCATGCAGTGTCTCCATTGGTCTCTGTTTAAAACTCAAAATTTTATCAATTTGTTGAGCAGTCTTGTTGGGTGGGTTGAACTTGTTGTGGAATTGTTTGACTAACTCCTCCCAAGTTGTTATGGAATTTATGGGGAGTGAGTTTAGCCAGGTTTGGGCAGCTCCTGTCACTGAGAATGGGAACAACAACAACTTGATTGCTTCCTGAGTTACGTTGGGCTGCCTTTGGGTTTTGCATATTGACAGGAAATTCTTCAAGTGCTGCTGAGGTCTCCGACTTGTGACCCCGAAAATAGTCCCTTGTTTTGCAACAAGTGCAGCATGTTATTCGTGATTTGGAATGATTCAGCCTGTATCTGCGGGACTATAATCGTTGTGGCCAGATTTTCAACTGTGGGTGTGCCCAGTCATAGAGAGCAGCCTCTGGCACAGGAGGTGCCGGTGGATTGTTTTCGTGATCTCCCATGTTCGGTTCTGGATTGTTCAATTGTTTGTTGCTGTTTGCTTTTCCGGTTGGCCCGGTTCAAGGCCTTAAAAACTTTTTCGGGATCTGATAGAGCTTCGAATACTTCACCAGTTCTCGTTGAGTTTCTAGGCATGCACCTGTGCAACCAAGTCAACAAACGTTTAAATTTCAATGTATAGATTGGGTATAGAGAAAACTGACTACACTAAGAATTTTTGTATTTCTTTCAATTGTAATTGATAACACCGTTAATTCCCCTGCAACGGAGCCAAATTTTGATCACGCCCAACTATGCCTTATAAAAGGACACGCGGGCGTTGCAAATATAATCTGAGTATTTATGCCCAGAGTCAAACCCACAAGGAATCAACCTATCAATTACTTTCGTTGGACTTACTAAATTCTATGGAATCAACTTCCCCAAACGTTGTAAATAACAGTTGATGGTATTTCTAATAACTAAGACTGAAAATAAATAAATAAACAGCTGAAAACTAACTATGCTTGAGTTGTAAACAATTATGAGAAGGTTCTAAGGTAGTGATTTCCCCTATTGATGGAATCCCTTCCGGTCATGTTTCATATAGATTCACCAAAATATCTCTATCAATCATGAGCACTTCTTTTACCGTAAATCTCTCCCGAGTAATCACAATAATTCACTAGACGCACTCTCCCGAGATACACTAGCTGGCTTTGTTTATTACAGCTCACATTAGATTGCACCCAAGGCTTCGTTATCCCTAATCCCGTCTTTAAACCCGCAGTTATAGATCCCTCTTATACTTTGGGAGTGATGATGTTCAACAACTACCTAAATATGCACTCTCTCCCGAGTTATGCATACTAAATTGGCACAACTAATTGAGGATCCTGTCAATTAACTACAACAAACACGTAGTTGAACAAATAGAGATTAAACTGGCAAACTATATTAACATAATCACGAAGTTCATCCTTCAATAGGTTCCATCAAAACCCTAGACAAAGGATTTAGCTACTCGTACTAGTGTTCATCACAATAATATTCAATTTCATCACAAATTATAAAAACAAGAGAGAGAAAGAAAGAATTCGATGGTTGTGTATCCTCCTTGCCTCTTGCCTCTCTCTTTCTTGCACTAAACTATGAAAACCTTGATAAATCCATCCTTGGGCGAGCTTGACCTTATATAAGTTAAGTGAATTTACCCCCAGACTTCCAAGTTTACCCCTGAATTTTTTTTTTCCGGAACTGGGACTAGCGCGGCCGCGCTAGTGGACGCGCTAATGGCCGCGCTAGTGGACTAACATTCTACCTCCCGCATCTGGACTAGCACGGTCGCGCTAGTGGACGCGCTAGTCCAGGCCTTTATTTTCTCGATTCTTTTTCTTGTCTTCGCGCGTACTCAGCTCCTAGGGGTTTTTCTTGCTTCAATGTAGCTCCAATCATAGCTTTAAGGCCTCATACAAGCTCCTCATCCTGCAACATATGAAATTCACAATTAGAGCCCATTTTTCATCATTTAACTATATTATGACATTGAAACATAATCAAGTTAGGGCATAAGCAATCGACAAATTACATAAATCTAGCCTATTATCAGTTGTGGTGGACAATGGACATCCAATTATTCCAAACATAAATGGACTGGAGATGGTGACTTGAAAGATAATAAAACAGTTGGGTAATTGATCAATCTAGTCTACTATTAATATTTGGTTCTTTTCGAGTTCATGAACAAATATGGTGGACACATATGAAAAGCGCATTTCGAAAATAAAGAAAGTTGAAAGGAGACACTTTCTAATAAACATTTCACTGGAAAGAGTTTCATTTTCATGCACATTTAGAAATAAAATCAAAATAAAGAAACCTATCTCAAGGCATACACGTCCATACAATTTTTCCTTTAATAAATTACACGAATAGCAGAAAGAAAGGGGGAAAAAGTAAATAAAGACCTAAAGATAATGTCCTAGGTATTGACACTTATGTTAGAATCACTACAAGAAATATGATTTTTTGTGACCACATTTTGCGGCGAAACTTATAGTTGCCACAAAAGTGATATTTTTAGCGACGACTCTTGCTGTCGCTACAGAAAATCGCATATATAGTGGCGACTATGTGTAGGTCGCTACAAAAATGTACTAATTTTTCCACAATAAAATATGGCTGGAAATGTATTGTGGCGACCTTAAAAAAGTCGCTGCTAAGACCTTGTTGTGGCGACATTGTCGCTCCTAAAAGTGGAGTTTTTGTGGCACCTATATGTCGCCACTAATTATTTTATTTTGATATTGATTATTATTTTTATTTATATATAAAAATTTTACTATTTAGTTGAAATAAGTTCATGTATTTTTTGTCCCTTAATATTGCTAAATAAGTACTTAAAATAATTTTATATATCTATACACTTTTAAATATAAATACTCATATATTGAAAAGGTTTAATAATAGTAGAGTTATTTAACTAAGTACTTAGAAATTAATTTCATATAGTGTAATAACTANAGTAACATTAAGGTACAATCGTTTTCTTGTGTTGGCTTGATTCAGTTTCTTTTTGGGTCAATCTGACTTTTCTCTTGCACATCACTATTCATGAAAAACTCACATTTTCCGTCAATTCCAATTTGTGCTACCGAAGCAACAAAATAAACAAATTCCGACAATTTCAGTTCTTGCTGACTTTTTATTTCTAGGGTTTCGTTGATTTTCGCAGATATTGTTGCATCGAGGTAAGCTAAAGTCACTCCTTTCTAACTTAGGGTTTCGTTATTACACCGTTTCTGCATTTTGTCAAACTTTTCGGCTCTCTAAACAACTATCGCTTTGTTGCCCTTGAAGTTTTTGGCTCTATTCATTTCTGCTTATAGAACAGGTGGCCGGCCGCGGCCAGTGCTACTTTTCTTCAATTTGAGAAAATTTCCTTTGTTGAGGTTAAGTCAAAACTAGTCCTTGTTCTCATGGTTATCATTTGTGTTCTGCTTTTAATGATGAATTTTATTTAGCCACTGAATTGTGTATGTATTGTTACTACATCTAATTAGTTGTTTCCTTGCATTTTTATTTCTATCAATTCTTTGCTCTGCTTTTCCTTTGTTTATTTCAATTCATGGTTTTGCTTCTCTTTCCACTCTTGCTGTGCACATGCTTGTGTTTTTCTTTTTGACCTTGTATCTTTTTTCTTGGTATTTGGTTCTTTGATTGGTTTTGGGAGGAAGAAAGAGTAGAAGCAATATGAAAAATTGAAGTACTCTGTTCTGTTTTCCTCTTTGAATAGAATGTAATCTATATGCGTAAGAGGAAGACAGGACATAATGCAGAAAGCAGAATATTATTTATATCCTTAATATTAATGTGGCGAGACAAACAATGCAGAACATATTGTATTCATTTAGCAGTACAACTCGAAATTGAAGAAGATTGTAGCTGTAAGGGCAGCAATTATTAGGCTAGAGAATGCACCACTCATTTCAGGATCCTCGAGATACCTTCATGCGACACTTTCCATACACCTGTGCAAGACTCCAATTCATTTTCGATAATCATTTGTTTACATCTATGAAAGGATGTCATACTACTGTCTGTGTGGCATGTTGATTTTCTTGCTTATCTATCAAAAGAACACTGTCCTATATGACATGCAATAAACTTATCTGAATGGTTTAGCTTTTCTTTTAGTTGCACTCGTTGTTCATCTTGGTGTACTTTTGATTTTATAAAGGAGTAAAAATTATTAGTTCAAGCCAGAGGATTGTCTCCACCCTGTTGTCTTTCCTTTTACCATTCTAAGCGGCTTTGTGGCTCTTGTACCTACTCAATGTTGAAGTGTTTCATATATCAATATGTATTTCACTTGCACTTTTCCAGTTAGTAATATGGTTTCGATTTTGGATTGCCACTCCTTTATAGAAATCACCGGGTATTTCATCACTTTTGATACTGATATCCTGTTCACATTCTGTGCTTTCTTTAAGGGCTCATTTTTTTTCTCTTCATAGGGACCTTCCAGTTACTGACAAAATAAATGTGAACCAACCTTGTGCTTGAATTTCCATGGTATTTGTAAACTGGGTTGGATGACGGATCATCTTACTTGTGAAGATAGTGACCTTCATAAATTTGAGTATATTAGAAGTTCTCTGGTTGTATCTTTAAAGTTCCATCTCTGTGTCTATCTTGCTGTGTGCATAGCTTCTTCGTTGTAAATATTGTTTTGGCTCCTTATATTTTAAAGGCTGTTAAATATTCATACTTTTCAATGTCCGAATCATATGTAAGTTTTCCTTTCAGCCACGACTTCTTTCAGTCAATATATCAGATTCCATCTGATCTTGTTGAAGGATATGCGTGATTCCTCTTCCTTAAGTGTGATGCTTCTATATGCCAGCTTCAATACCACATCAAAAATTAAAATAATTTGGTTGTTTGGTGCTGCCTCTCCTATTTAACATTAAAGCACGTATCTCATAATTGATAACATCCAGAGTGTTGGCACGTATCTTATGCCATTACACAAGACATTCTTTTCCCATGATCGAAGAAGTGTTTCTTCAAAGCTAAAGTGCGATCATGAATCAAGTAATGTTACAGCTTTTGCCTCTTTGCATTTGGCATACAGTTGGGCTATTAGAGGTCATTCCATGATCATCTTAGCCTCCATCTCTAGCAGCTTCCGTATATCAGGATACCTGCACCTTTTGGTACTCTGTGGTTAAATTAAGTTTCTTAGAAGACTAGAATGATTCAATGAAGACATAGACATATGGGTAAGAAGTGATTTAAGACACTTGTAAGTTGCATGGATTAAGTTTGTTGTCAAACCTTTTAATACCTGATGATCTTCTTGTTTAGAAACCAATTAGAAATGAGCAATTGTATCACTTGATCAGAAGTGCTAATCGGGGGAACACTATAGATCACATAATGTTGTTTATAGAGTCACAGTTGTAGGCCTCATAAGTTGTAGCAGAGGAATTACACTGCATCTATTGACTGCTTATGTGATGTGTATGCCTAGTTTCTTCTTTCACTTATCACTTCTTGTTCCAGATTGTTGGCCATGCATTTTCCCATCCAAAGCTTCTGACTTTGTGTGATCAGTGAGACACCAAAGAATTGCAGAGCTAATGATCTTTTTTAGTAAGAAGACCACTTAGTGATACTTAAACTTTGCAACTAGGCTTAGTTACGACTCCTTGGTAGCTCATTTATGTTAGTTAATTTTTAACACTTGTTTCTGAAAATGAACAAAGAATATGCGTGTTGCCTGAATGTTTGTTCACCTTTTAGCATGTGGGAGTTCACTTTGCAGTTCACCATCTAGTAGTTTCACTTTAAAATTAGTAAATTATAGTTGGAAGAGCACCTTTTATGAGAAACAGAGAGAGAGCATAGTGAAAATTAGGACAATCTGGAAATATAAAACATGACTCATGTTTATACCATCAACTCAGGAATTATTTCAAATCGTAATGTTTTCAAACTATACTTCCATCAACGTGGCACTATGATATGGTATTTAGGAAGTTTGTTCTTTTACAGAGAATACAATTAGTAAATAATCAGTAGAGAAAGTTTTAATTCCTTATATTTTCCATTTGTTGTTAATATGTGTTGATTAGTTTTAATATTTAGCACTTACACATGAAAGATTTAGCCATCATTATTATTGTAATATTTAAAAACACATTGGCATGATTACATCATTTCATTTAATGGTATCTAAATTTCTAACAAATCACCCTGAATTTCTTTTGTAGGTAGTAACCAAAAGGAGCCGCACTTGGTGGGCAGCCAATATTATCTTGCTATGAAAGTTTGTTGCTGCATTCTAAGGTCATATTCTTCAAAAGGAAATGAAACTAGCCAAGGACGAGCTCGAAGACATTTGGATTGTGTTGTTTTTTTCTGGCATTTCATATGTATAGAATTCCTATTTATTATGAATTTTTAATAAAATGTTCCTTGATCATTCTGTTTGATAGAAGTTTTAATGGTGTCTTTTTAATATCAATGAATTTCTCTAATAAATTTGTGTAATATTAGTTTAAAATATTGTTGCAACTTAATAATTTTTAAGAAGTAGAATCAGTTGGAAAAATCGGTTTTACGGGCGACCATTTTGTCACTAAAATTTTGTGGCGACCAATATAGCTACTAAACATAATCTTATGGTGGCGATCTGAAACTAATGGTATGATCATTTTGGTGGCGACTATTGTCGCTGCTAAAAGTCCATCATCATCAGCAGCGACCTATTCCCAAATCTACTGTGGTTGCATGTTTTCTTTACTTGTTGTGGCGAGTTACATCGCCACAAAATGTATGTTTTTGTGGCGACATCCAAAAGTCGTCATAAGTAACATTCAGTAACGGTGTTACTTGGAGCAACCATAATGTCGCTACTAAATGGTTTAGTGGCGACTTTTCATGCTTTAGTAGCGACTCTTGTCGCCACTAAAAACTCGATTTCTTGTAGTGAATGGACTAATGATAAATATAAAACACAATGCGGACCCGGCTTCCTTACCAAATTAATCAGTTATTCATTGCACTAGCAAGTAGAAAAATAATCCTATAGTGTTGTGACATTTGATCTGATATTTTATCTTTTACGGTCTTTATCTTCAACACCTTGTCCATAATTTATTCGGAGCAAAAAAAAAAAGGAAAAAAGCAAAGATGGCCAAAGCATGGAACTGCTCAAATATCATTGTTTAAATTGACACGAAAAAAAAAGAGAGGGAGAAGTAACAGGCTAGGATCAAGTACTTGGTATCTTTCTTTCTTTTTTTTCTGAAATGATATTATATAACCGCTCTTAAAATAATACTCATATATATACACACACATACATTTTGTAAGTTATATATAAAAAATTTATAAATTTTACATATTTTTTTGCGACTATCCAATATAAATAATTGACCGCGGACTAAAAGTGATATAAATTTGCCCTGTTTCATCAAAGAATTCCCGAGAAAAAAGAACTTTATTAACATACACCATGTTTTAGGTCAGTTTGGAGGGAAAGAACCCAAAAATTGATAACTGATAAGGACAAAAAGATAACGCTTTTATTCCAAATTCTAGGTGGATATTACAACATTGAAAAATGAAATTAGTTGACTTCTTTTACGTGTGAACAAACTGCTACTACTTTATTAATTTCTAGTTGAAGTCCAATTTTAAAGGAGGTTAGATTTCTAATACATTTTGAATTTATGTAATTTTATGTCAATCAGACCGGCCTTTACTGAGTGGTTAGTATGAGATCTTAAGTAATATGTAATTAACTACCGGAAAAGCATGACAAGTAGCAAATCAGGCATGAATAAGTGGCTTCTCAGAGTTGGTTTTATGTTGAAACCTTATCTTAAACCGATAATATTCTTTATTTTAAAAGAAAATTACGGCAATTAAAAGAATTGTCAATTAATTATCTTAAAAAGTAATTTTTTAAAATGTATTGGTGATAGATCTACCTCTGCCCATTCAAATCGGAGTTTAACTAAGTTGAAAAGCATTGAGAAGTACGTAGAAAGTTGGGAAAATGGGAAAAGACTTATTCCGTGGGCCGGAGCTGATCATGGAAATCACCTGGAGTAGCCAGAGGGATCTTTCACTACAAAACAAAAATAGTAGAAGAGAGCAAACTCTCCTACGATGGTAACCTCACATTTGTCTTTGTTGTCACAATTCTGCTCTTATTGTTCTTCATACGTAATGCCCATTAACCTGTGGGCAAAAAACTTATTTGACTTGTTATGTATGCACCATATTAATTTATCATTATCGAACGATAAATTAAGGTAAAATATATATTAAATATGATACAAACTTCTCTATAACAGTCTCGTTTGTTCCGAATATTTTTAAATGTTATAGCGAAGTACTATTATAGAGAACATATATTATAACACAACATGAAATTTGGTTCCAGGGAAGCTTGGCTTTAAAAGTGAGATGTTGCTACATAGAGATGTTGTTATAAAAAGGTTTAACCATAAAATTAAATTTATATGAAAGAGGAATTAAATTTTTAAGACACTTCAAAACTTATATCAATTTTTAAGACAAAAGTGTTAAAAAATGAGTAGAAAGGACACTTTTGTGATTAGGGTTAATGACATAATTTGTAAAAACCCCAAAGTTTTTTTTTATAGATAAAAAAGTCCCCCTCTTCCTCCACCACCTATTCCTCCTCTCTCTCCTCCCCTCCTCCTACTCCCGCCACTCCTCCTCCTCCCCGTGTTCCTCCATCTCGCAATGCTCTTCTATATCCCCTGCCACTCCTAATCCCCAAATATTTAGGGAAGATGTTTCAAATATCTAGAGAAATGTTTCGAGCATCTACTGAGATATTTCAAACACGTGCACACATCTGTGGGGATATTGAAACATCTGTGGAAAAAAGACAACGAGAACAACACTAGAAAAAAAGAAAGAAGTATAAGAAATATCCCGATGGATGTTTCAAATCTCCCAAGGGATGTTTCGAATATCCCCGGGGACGCTTCAGCAGAATACTCATTTATAGGGATGTCTCAAAATATCTCAAGGGTATTTTACAAAATATTTACTTTGTAAAATTTCATATTTTCTCTTTCTCTCATATATCTTAAACCACTAGAAGAAAAGAAAAAATGAAAAAAGAAGAAGATGATGAAAATGAGATGAAAAGAAGAAGATGATGACATAGACGAACCAGCAGCAGCAGAACAACAACGAAAGTTGAAGAGAAAGAATAAAATAAGAAAGAAGAATGAAAGAATGAGGAAGAGAACGAAGAAAGAAGAAAGAAGAACGAAGGAGAAAAAGAAGTAAATTGTAGAAAGAAGAGGGAATTGAAAATTTAATTTGAATAGGTATGATTTTTTATGAAAATTTTAATATTTATTCACAATTTTTGTTATTTTTTAATCTGACCCCAAACCCCTTTAGTTACTCATTTTTTTTAACCAAAAAATATGTCCTATATTCTTATACAAGACTTCAAAAGTCTTTTTACCTCATTCTTCCGAAAGACATATACTATGTATTCCGTAGTTTAATATACACGTTTAAAATTAAATTCAGGGAATACTGCCCCCGTTTGATCATAGATTTTGCCGAGTTTTTTTTTAATTTTTTTTTTGGCAAAATATGTTTGTTTATAGATTTTATCCGTGTTTTGGTAGATTTTGAAAATAAAATTTTCAAATCCCAAAATAAGCCCTAGACCTGTTTTTGGCCCAAAATATCATTGTTTGATTTTTTAACTATTTCAAAAATTATCACAAAGTTTTATATTTTATAAAAAATCCCACAATCTATTATGACCCAACTAACCACCAGCTAATTAATATAATTTTCTGTTGAACTGATGGATCTTGTAATATTGTTGCAATTTGGCGAATTGTAGTGGCTAGTAATTATGTTATTAGCAGTTGATATTAAAATATCAGGTTATGATTTTAGGATAGTATATTATGTAATTCATTATAAAAATAATAATTTAATGCCAAACTTATCTATGTTCAAGACTATGGTTTGTGATAATGATAATGAATGACATCAATGAAGGTTCTTCATATACGGGATTAGCAAATTTATTTGTCTGGTATTGTTGGATATTTTTGATAGTTTTTAGAACTTATGAGTATAAGTCACATTTCATGTTTTTTCAAAGAAAAAAGAAAGTGAAATATGCTTTAAAAATTTATGTTCAAATATATTTTCATCTTCAAACCAAACTTCACCTAAATCGATTTTTTAAAAATAAATTTCAAAATATATGGCCAAACGCTAGTTACAGAACTCGAGAATTCAGTAAAAGGAGTAACTCCAGTATATTTCATGCCCTTTTCAAAATAAAATAAAAAATCACTTCATGCTTTGCTTCTGCGTACAAATTACTATTATAGAGGCCATTACATAACTGGCTAGCTACTTCATATCAATAATACTAATTTTTGTAGCTTCTCAATAATTCTGTTATCGTTTTCTAAAGTAAAATTAAAAAAATAATTAAAACAAAGAATTCAGAACATAACCGGGTAATTCAATTTCAAAGGCCATGCTTTCCAACTAGGGAGCACACATGCGAACCATGAGACAATAGGCTTATCCACTACTTAAGACCCAACAGGCAACAGAGTTTGATGAAGCCACACATGGAAAATGACCCACCTACGTGGAGCCCACAGGGACTCTTTCATGCCGACCAACGACGAAGATAAACTATAGTAAGAAATAACCCACCACGGTCAAAGCCACCAATCAGGGTTAACTTTAACGTCCTTGATTAACGCCGTTTTACAACAAAGTTACCAAACAGTCTTATTTGACGGGAAAACTAAGCAAGTTAGAGAACTGTCAGCTACATAGAAGCCACGTGGTGGTATCTGCATCTGCCAATGTTAACAAAATATATCCTGAACCAGAACACGTGTAGAATGAAAAACTGTAGCTGGCGAAACTGGTGGCACAATTTGAAGGCGACGGATTTTGGGGTCTAGTCTAATTTAAATATTATTGGTCCTTTCTTTTTTCCTTTGAATTTTATATGTGTTGTTAATCTTTTTTTGCTAACTCGCATTGAAACTTTAACTAGTTCGAATTTGTACTGCGTAAAAGTAAATAAAGAAGAACACGCTTTCTATCTAAACATTTTATATTTTTAGGACTCAACCGGAATTTTCATTAAGAGTAAAGATCCTATTTATCCACCGCAATCCTTATAGTTAAGTGAAATTACATACAAAAGAGACCAAGGTGAATTTAACAAGCTCGAGAGTCTTCGGTAGATAGTCCATAAATTGTCTAGGCATTTTTTGAACTGCCAGCTGTGCGTCAAATGAACTCCTTTGTCCGTTTCAATTTGGGACCAGTCACATACGGACACAGTGGTGTGAAATGGGACCGGCAGTCAGCTTTGTTCTTTTCTTTTTTTTTTTTAGAAAAGATAAACATTTTATAGATATTTAAAAGTTTGTATTAGAGTTT